AACCACTGAGACACCTTGATGCTCAAAAGAGAGTCAATAAAATTAAAAAACAAACAAAAAAAGGGATTAGCCACTTAAAGCATAAATGCGCTCACCTAACTTTACAGCTATCTTCCCATTTCGATTGTGAACATGAAATCCGGCCCAGTTCAACCAATTGGTGGCACCAAAGGCAGGAAGTATGAACATTCAGACTTCCACTGAGGAACCTGTTGTTGCTGACAGCCTGTTAGTATTTTCACCCCTGTGGTGGCTTCTGAAGGTCTTCTACAATTTCCTGGTATCTAATTTATGAAAACATCTTCTCCTCCCCGCTTCTTCTGTTCTTTACTCTTTAGCTCATCCATCTATGGTGTTTGCTGTTTGTTTCAGAGAGACAACATGCATTAATCACTATTAAGCCATCACTCAGTTCACAGCATCAGTTTCTGGAACAGCTCTGGGCTTTACATCATGATGACATCATGGATTACAGAGAGTATTTAGTGCTGTCTGGTCTCTTTCTTTGGGACCGAGCTGCTCAGGAATGGTTCTGCTTTGAGTCAGCAGATTATAACTGCTTCTGAATGCTGAGCTCTCCCACAGCTGCTGTGTTGAGGTTAAAACTCTCCCGTCAGTGGACCTTCTCTCTTGCCTCCATCTTCGCTCTGCCCTCCCTGTGCATTGTGGGTTTAGCAAATGAAATCAATACAGCATTGTTGTTGTTTCCTCTGGATTCGGGAGTCAATCGGCTGCATGGCCGAGCAGCCGGTCGTCACGGTTTGAACACTCCTCCTCTGCTCCTGTTCCGTCTCTCCGACTCAAGACCTCACATGCTGCAGCAGAACCCAGCCCTCCGAGCTCTACAACTCCCTATTATTCGACTAAGCCCCTTCCTTTTGTCCTTTACGACGCTATTAATAAAAGCTGCTTTATGGAATGATTGAATAGGCCTGACATCGTATATCATTACCATTTAATTAATTACTTGTCAATCCCACCTTGCGATAATTAAAAAGGATATCGTTCGGTGTTTCGGTGCTTTTTTTCACTGGGAAATGACAGTCTGCCACTCACTTTTTTCAATAAGGCCTAATTCTGATGAATCCCCGAAGAGGCGAAGTAAAGACATGATTAATAGCACGCATGACTGAAACACATAAAATTAGAAGACGGAGCGAGCGGTGTGGAGTCAGGACTGCACTGCATGTGAATTCAAATGGCACAGACGGAGGGCAGAGCTCTACCTGCTTATATAACTTAATATGTACAATTATACAACGGAAAACGTTGTTAATCAGTTTCAGGGTAACTATGCAGCAGCACGGCTCGCATGGAAACGGCAGAATAACGGACGTTAATTAACTTTATCACTGCAACCTTAAAGCCGTACGATCCCCAGTATCTTTCATGTCCTCATTACGTGCAGTCACAACTATTCAGCTCTTCACTTTTACGGTCTTCTCAACAAAACTCAACACCTCCTGCAGGTGTTTCAAAATAAAAGCCCTGCAGCTCCCTGGACTGGATTTTAATACATTTGTGAATGAAGTGAAGTGAAGAGCAATGAAAACAAAATACGGCACATTCTAGACACTAAAAAATAAATAAAAGGACCTTTTTCCACCACATAAATTAAAGCATAACTGCAATAAAAAATTGGAATTTACTGATTTAGAAAAGGGCTGCAGGAGGCTCAGTGGTTAGCACCGTCACCTCACAGCTAGAAGGTCGCCGGTTGGCGTCCCGGTGAGGACACCCGGGATCTTCCTGCGTGGAGTCTCCATGTTCTCCCCGTGCAGCGTGGGTTCTCTCCGGGTTCTCCGGCTTCCTCCCACAGTCCAGAAACATGCTGAGGTTAATTGGTGATTGTAAATTGTCCGTAGGTGTGAATGTGAGTGTGCTTGGTTGTCTGTCTCTAAGTGTAGCCCTGTGATAGACTGGTTACCTGTCCAGGTGAACCTGCCTTCACCCTGAGTCAGCTGGGATAGACTCCGCCCCCTAGTGAGGATGAAGGTGTAGAGATGATGGATGGATGATTTGGATACATTTTCGTGTTGCAAACATTATTGATGGGTTTCATCGACATAATAATACATTTCTGTGTGAGTTGATTGAAAACTAAATTCAAGAAAATTGTCTGGATATCGTAATTTTTCCCAACCTTGAACCCTTTCCTTCCTTCCTTCTAAACATGCCTGTGACGGTTGTGGATGAGCCGGCCTGCTCGGTGAGGGAGCACAGAGCAGCAGATTAACGCCTCGGAAACGCAGCAGTTACAAACCAGGTTGCATCGAGAAGCAATTAAAAGATGAGAAAACAGAGAATATGTAATGCAATAAAATGTAAGGAGTAAAAGCCTCTGTCTTTTATTGGGCTACTGAACAAATTAAAGGCCGATATTTAGGAACTGACAGCACACAGTGGACCGCTCAACACTGTCATATAACAACGCGTTGCTGAAATCTGCTGCTTCAGCTCGTCTGCCTGGCGCAACGCCGCAAACCTCCTACTTTCTCTTGCACTCTGCATCATCTGTCGTTTTCAGGCAACCTCCCGTCACCTCTTGAGCTGAAATCCAGCTGCTGTATCTGCTCAGTTTCAACACAGGAATACAGCCTGTCCCCCAGCCACTCTGCCTTTTTTTCTGAGTCTATCCAGTGGGGATTTAAAGGCAGAAGAATTTTCCAATCCTCAGAGAAGCCACGTAATCCTCCTAGTGAACTTGAAAATCACAAAACATTTGAGTTCTCACATGATATCGGTGATAGTCTACCTGTCCGCCTCTCATTCCTGCCATCCTGCCTCATCACACAGCCCGTCCACGCTCTGCTACACCTGCCCGTCTATGAGCGTGCACGCATGGCCGCGCGTCTTCTTGGCATATGTGAGTGATTTGTTATGCATGCATGCTTGCGTGCGTCTCCGCGCGTCTATTCCGTTCAATCTCGGCTCCACATCCTTCGCCACCCACCGAATGAGAGCGCTGATTCATTATGGCTTGATGACAGGCGCCGAGAAACAATGAGAAACACCGGTGGAAATAGGAGAGGTGAGAGGAGAAAACAAACAGCCAGATAGAGGGTGGAGGAGGAGAGAGCGCGTGATAGAAGGGTAAGAGGTAAACGGATGAATAGGAGAAAACAGGAAGACAGTGATAAAGAGCGAAGAGCGAAGTGAGAATGTGAGAAAGACAGCGACAGATGGAAGCAGAAACAAAGAAAAGTGCTTGCGAGTACTCCCTCCCCAAATTGATTCTGACTGTCGGCCAGGGCGCCTGATGGATATCTGAGCCTTGATTGGAATTTACATGCCAGACACAAGCCTCCTCCTCCTATCCCCAGCACACCCAATAACCCACTGCGCTCTCATACCGCTCTGAGTGATAAGCGCAATGAGAAAGCGCTGGCATATTTAGCCTCAACAATAGCACTCCGAAGAGTTTCTGAGGCCCGGAGAAGGATGCATTGTTTATAAGAGGGAGTATCGTTTCAACAGTTGATTAATGGCGAGGAGGCTATCGGCGGCTGCCATCACGCCGCGGGGGCACGCCGGGCCCAAATTGGATGAGTGCAAGGAAGAGGAAAGGTGCTCTGTGGCTAGACGGAGTGGAACTATCACATGGAGATATTTCTGCTGTGGCACAGTGTTTGCTTTGCAGGGCTGCACACCTCTGTCTGCTGCTGGAAATGGGAAGTTAGCAGCAATGAGACGGGAGAGCCACTGTCACTCCTCAGCTCTACACATCAGGGGAAGTAAACAGACAACATCGCTTCATAATCTAAGGCTCCCTCCAAATGGAATCTGACCTGAATATAAAGCACTCATAAATATTTCAGGTGCAGATGGATATTTGGGTGATATAGAAAGTGGCGTTTCTGTTTGAAAGCTCAAAGCAAACATAAGTTATTTTTTCTGTTTTCTGCTCATATTTCTCTTCATGCTGTCAGAATGTAACCACCGAGCCATTCGCACTTCATTCCTCGCATTCATCTCGTCTCTGGAGGCAGTAATAGGTTTATTCTCTTTTATTTACAAGAGAGAGAAAGAAAAAGAGACAACGATCGGGCAGTTCCCATGAAATCATTCCAGTAGCATTACCCGTACAGAACTGTACAGTCGGTCCTCATGTCGCCTGCACTGCATGAAGGCACACATGCTCACCTTCTCCACATCCATTAACTGACTTGTATGGTCAGCACAAGCAGCAAACACAAGCCATTGATTATGCAGAAGAGCCTGAGGATTCTAAAGTAGCATAAGATGCATTTGATGGCACTGAGTCATGCTTGTTCAGTGAGACATCCGGGACAAACTAATATGGACATTTCATGTGAATATTCTCAAAGCACTCAAAGGATGAGTCCTAATCATCTCTGGCCTTTTGTACGGCACTTAAAAATATTCTTGCGACCAACATTTTGATCCAAGTTGTCTAAAGAAACCAAGAATTTATTCAATCTAATCAGCTCTCAGGATTTTTGATCCCAGAGGATAAATCTTAGAGTTTTTATTTTATTTGCTGTGCACTACACGTTCCATTTCAATATTTAGGACAAGTGATATTTTGCGGAGGGCTGCAAGGTGGCGCAGCTGGTAGCACCGACGCCTCACAGCTAGAAGGTCGCCGGTTTGCATCCCGGTGGGGGGCACTGGGATCTCTCTTTCTGCATGTTCTCCCCGTGCAGCGTGGGTTCTCTCCGGGTTCTCCGGCTTCCTCCCACAGTCCAGAAACATGCTGAGGTTAATTGGTGATTGTAAATTGTCCGTAGGTGTGAATGTGAGTGTGCTTGGTTGTCTGTCTCTAAGTGTAGCCCTGTGATAGACTGGTTACCTGTCCAGGTGAACCTGCCTTCACCCTGAGTCAGCTGGGATAGACTCCAGCCCCCCATGACCCTGGTGAGGATTAAGGTGTAGAGATGATGGATGGATGGAGAACCAATATGGAGATGTTGGCTGTGTGTACACAAAACAAGCAGAGTTTAGCCATTCCCTGTTAAAAACCCTCTTCCAGTACTTGCCTATGTTGCCGGTGCGTACGTGGAGCCGTCCTCTGACGACGGTGTGAACCGTCATGGGGCTGGAGGCTGAGCGTCGACCCAAATCTGTGCTCGTCAGTAAGGCGTCCTCTCCCACGTAGTCCGTGGTCAGCACCTCCACCTCGTGAAGGGCCTGCACCGCCGACTTGCCCTGACGCAACATGTGCTGGATGCAGAATGTGAAAACGACACGAGAAACGTTTACTTGCAAAGTACATAAACATGACTGTACCCGACATCAAAGGGGAATTATAAAACCATCAGCAAAATGAATGTGCACGACTTAGGAACCGCCGGGAGCCGGTTTAACGGATGGGGTCAAGTTCAATGCAGCTCTTTCCAGTTGCAAAATACTCGCTTTAATTCTTTCTCATTAAATGGTTTACCCATTTCACAGTCACAAACAAATCAATTACACATTGAGTTTTGCGAGAGAGTTTCTGTCCAATCAATGGAAGCAGAATTAAAGGACCAAAACCATCCATCCACCCCTTTTTTCCGTTTATCTGGGGTCACGTCACGATGCCAGCAGGCTAAGCAGGGCAGCACTCCAGACGTCCCTCTCTCCAGTAACGTTTTCAAGCTCCTTCTGGGGGATCCCGAGGCATTCCCGGGCCTGTTGACTTGAGACTTGTGGGTCTACCCTGAGCTTTCCTCCTAGCTGAGCATGCCAAGAAACCTCCACAGGAAGGGCCCCAGGAGGCTTCCTATTCAGACGCCTGAACTACCTCAGCCACTTGTTTTCAACACGGCGGTCCGGTCCAGCGTCTGCATCACTGTTAACGCCGCACCAATCCATCTGTCCACCTCATGCTCCATTTTACCATCACTCACAAACAAGATCCCAAAATACTCCTTCACTTTGGGCAGCAGCTTAGTCCCGGACCCAGAGGGAGCAATCACTTGGCTGAACACTTGGCTGCAAACCACTGACACCGAAATCAAAAAGCCTCCAGAATCTGTGTTTTCTAATTCTTTAGCAGTTAGAAGTGGCAGACATGTTGTGTTTGTTAAACCCCTGAACACAGACAGCAGCAGTAGCCACGCTGCTGAACAACACACGGCTCCACGCTGTGCATCTTCCTCAGTAAGAAAACCACATTATTGTTTTTTCCTTAAACAGCCACAGTGTTTGCATATTTCAAGAAAAAACATCAGCGGCTCTCGTCCCATTACACGCCACAGTGGTCAATTTATACCAACCGTCCGTAAACGTCTGCGTTGTGTGTTCGAGGACACGTGGCTCGTATCCAGCGAGCTGTGGTGGGACCTGACGTTCTATTATCATCACCAGTTCTCCCACAGCAGCAGGTTCTCTCTAATAAACGTGTTAAAACAAACTGCATGAATCCATGTCAGCTGCACCACACCGCGACACAAAGGTGACTCAGCGATGCACGTGTGTCTGTTGTTGATGAGTCACTCTTCAGAAATCTTAACAAATGTCAGGTGAGCGTCAGAGTCGGTCGACTGCATTGACCTCACTGTGTTTTACCTTGAGCTCGACGGCAGTGGAGCCTATGAGGAGCAACGAGTCACTGTCCCAGACGTCGATGTGCATGGTGTGAAGGGCCAGGTAGCGGAGGAACCAGCGCTTCTCTCCTGGCTTCAAGAAACTGTCGTCGACTCTGAACTGCACCTGCAGACCTGGAGAGCCTAGACAAGGACAGAGGAGACGTCAGAGATACGCCGTTTAGTCATACTGATCATATTCAACAGTGGAGGATCTTCTCAGTGCAACAAAAACGAACACACAAGTGATCACTGAAACTAAATGAACACAGCTGCGATCTCCAAACAGTCTAATCTGATGGACATGGTTTAATCATGAGCTCTGAGCACCAGAACTTACCAAACTTTGGACCTATGGGCTGTTTCCATCTGCACCATGACAGCACATGGTCAAAATTAAAAAATGTGATTGTGAGACTTTACGAATACAGAAAAAACAGATTGTTGACCAACTTTAAATCAGTTAAACAGTAGCAGCAGTAGTCAGGAGGTATGGAACGAGCCATAGCACCACTAACCAGAGCCGTAATAATCATCCTCAGGGATCTTGGCCAGGACTACCACAGTCGCATAGTCGCAGCAGTAAAGCATTGAAGCAGCATAACATGAGGCTGCATGAGTGCAAAAGCTAACGAGGACAATGACTCTCAGTCTGCAGAAGCTCAGTAGAAAAGAGATCTTCAAGCATGATGACCATCATCAGCACACTGCAAAAACCAAACAGGAGTTTTAAAGAAGATGAAGCTGGAGAAGTACGTCGCCTGGCTTAAATAAAACAGAACACCTTTAAGGTAAAGGAAAGGCAGAGCTACACCATCGACTTTACATCAGAGCAGAGCCTGTCAGATTTAGAAGCAATGCAATGACTTCAAGGTGGAGCAATTTTAAATTATTTCACATTTAAATGACATCAGACTCACTTCTGCTGTGTGCTGTATGAAGACACAGTAATTAACCCTACACTGTTTATTATCTGTAGTATTAAGTTACATGTACGTTCAATTTAAAGAGTGATGATCCCAACATCTGGACTCATGATAGCAGGTCATCAGGAAGCATCACATCTGAAGGGTTTGAGGAGGACACGCATGATACACAAACACCCGCCTTCTCTCTGCCACGGCAGCACAAGACCCAGAGAGACTGTAATCCTACAGATATATAACTCTAAAGTCTTAATTATCTTATTGCTGAATGGACATGCACATGTCCTTAATTATATCAGAAATTACTTTCACACATCCTGAAACTCCACAGTTTGTATGTATTTTTACACATTTGTCTATGATCTCAGGAACTGTAAGAGATAAACATGTTTAGTGGGATTTTAGATCTTTGATCATCATAGATATTTAACTATTTAAATTACATGTTTGAGGAAAGAACTCAGATTAATTTCTAAAGCTATCTGGCCGCTGAGCTCTCATGAACAGTGACGCTGAAGACCACCTCTTGGGACGGCCCATGATTGGCTAGATACTGATTCGAATTAAAAAAAACACTCTGTATAAAAAGAAAGAGTTTTTCTGGGGCTTCTTTGATTTCCTTGTAGTTGGGGGTTTCTTAAGCGAACCTTTACAGCGTGAACATGAATAGAAGTCTACCTATAATAAATCTATTTTGGCCGCTGACAACAAAACATGTAAATATACACAATATGAGGGGAAAAAACACCAATTTGATCATTACTTTCTCCTTTCCTTCCATCCAGATGGGTTTAAATGCAGAGGAAGAGCCATAATATCTGTAATCAGCTGTGGGCCATGTGGACAGATCATCTAAACGGCTGCAGTAGCCGTCGACTGGGAGTCATTAGCTCTGATGGCTGCACAGCGTGAGAGGACAATAACCAGGGAGCAGGAAGCTATTTCACAAAATCAGAAGAACCAGACAGTTTTTTTTATAACTCAAGATGATAGAGGCGCCGGACATACTGCCAGAAAAACTCCAGAGTGATTTCATGGACAGCAGGTCATAGTCATGGCTTCATCAGCACGTCCACAACTCACACTTAGGAGGAACAGATTTCCTCTTTCCATTAACCACAAACACAAGGTTTTCCTTTTAGGAGAAAATACTGAACCAACAGTACATATGGCCAAAAATATAATTAATATTTAGTACAGTTTGTCATTTTATCCACCCATGCAAGGTCAGAGGCAGAGATGTGCACACGAGCCATTTCATCTTGATTAAATCAGTTCGGAGTAAAAGCCAGACTCAATCTGAGAATGTAAAATGAGTGCCCTGTGATTCTCTGATGGGAGCTCTGCAGTGCACTGACTTGAAATCTGACTCATCCTCTAAGTCCGAGTCATTTAACTGAAACAGGCCCCATCGGTGCTCTGGCTCAGCTGGTGGGTCCGTACAGCCGGCTGTGGTGTTACACAATCTACCATCACAGTGACTGAAGCAACACATCATCAGGACAGAAAAACATCAGGCGACAGTTATTTTCCCGATAATACCGATTAACCCAGTTACCAGAGACATTTTTAAAAACATGATCTGCACACTTTAAAAAAACTGTACGTAATAACATCCTTCATTAACTCAGTCCTCAGATCTCCCCAGGAAGATGAACTCACATCCACACCTAGCCACAGAGACCCTAACGAACCCCACTGTGGCAGGAGGAGCACTAACGAGTCACATAACGAGGGGGAGGAGCAACAAACCTCCAACTGAAACCAAACTCAGGTGTTAATGGCTCCTAAAGGACATCTGGAACTCCCAACCAGTCAGTCAGACCTGATGAAGCCTCTTGGATGGAGGTGGAACGTCTTCAAGGAACTCAAGCAGGTCCAGCTGCTACCATTAAACTACCAGAACCCCTCACCTGTTTCTGCTCAGGTGTCCATCCCAGAGCGGGATGAAAAGCTGAAACACAGCTGTCACAGGAGAATATCATGCAGCTACAGTGGACTGGTGGTTTAGCTGGAAGAGGAAGGCCTACATAAGTCATGACATCCACTTTACTAATGAGGAGGTGAAGAGATGCTGTTTGCCATTTCCCAGGTGGTCGTACAGGTGAGAACACCACAGCAGGGATGAGGAAGTGTCCAGTCCTGACGAACACCTGGACCAGGCTGCAGTGCTTTGGCCACAGACTGCATTTGTACATTATGTTATATTTACTAAGCAGGTTATTTTTCATATTGCCATAAACATCACAGAGAAACAAAACACCACCATGTCGGTTTTAGAGCTACTGAGCTGCAGGCCAGTCGCATGTTGTTACCGACTGTGTGTATTTAAGGTACGAGTGTGTGTCTGTGCACCAATTTGACTCCCAGAACTCCCCCCAACAGCATCCCTCCAAGCCTGATTTAAAACCCCCACGCTGTCTGGACTCCCATAAGCTGAGCGTGTGCAGAAGCAGCCGGCTGGATAGAAGCGGTGTAATGAGGACCTTTGGTGACAGTCCTGCTGTGTTAAAGAGACCGGCAAGCCCCGCTCACTCCGTCTGCACACGACATGAAGGAAAACTTTCTGCTTTCAAACACTCACATGCAGTTATTTAGCGCACATCAGTATTCCCACGATGCAGAGACACAGAGGCTGCCGCAGGGTGTTTTTAAGGATTCAAATAGAAAGGTTTGTGGAGGACAGGTACCGGTGGTTACCGCTGGGGCTGACAGGGGCTGACTGAAGCCGACCTCACAATGGATGCTTCCTCATTAGACCTGCTGATGTTTTGCTCTGGACAGTCTGAATGATGAGGACTGTGACGTCACCCATTAGCTTCTCTGGTTCTTCTAATCATGTCACATTAGCGTCATTATGGGATGTGTGGATCTCACGAGTTCGTTTCTATGCAACACGTATCGTCCATGAAAGAAGATGAAGGTGTTGCTGGTCCTCTCTGGACTCAGTGGCTGATGTCTGCTTCTGTGACATGAACGTTTTACAGACTGCACACACTGGGAGGAACAGAAGCTACTGACTAGGAGGACGTCCATTTTGTATAAAGCAGACAACAGCGTCCATGTGAGGAGACTTCTACTGAGTGTCCATCACAGACGTGTTTGACAGTTTGAAGACGAACAGACAGAGGCAGGCAGACGGAGAGTCTTGATATTTCTGTGCTTCCTCACAACTCTTTTTCCTTTCACCTAACCTTCGCAGCCTCCTTCACCGCCCCCTCCTCTTCCTCCCGTCTCCCCAGCCACCCGCCAACTCTCTCCACTTGGACCATTAATTCTCCCAGCATGCTCTGGGCTTGTGTGCTGTGGTCGGGTGGTGATGAGAGCGCAGAGGGAAAGCGAGAGCGTGAGGCAGAATGTTGCTGTGTGTGCGCTCACTAACGGGGAAGAGCTGACAGATCCGGCCCGAGGGTTGAGCCGGGTTGCGTGTGTGCCGCTCGGTCTGCAGACGAGGAGCGGCACCCAGCAGACTTCCCCTAACCTGGATGGCCTGCCTGGTGTGTACACAGCAGGCTGGGCAGGCTGAAAATCCTGCTGGGGATCAACAACTCTCCACAACACAGCGAAGGCTGCAGGCAAAGAAAACAATAAGAATGCACAGAGTGGGCTGATAGATTTGGAGACTGGCACAAAGCAGAGCATCGAGGTAGACAAAGGCTACATTTACCAATATATCTGTGGGAAACTGTCTTTTTGTTCAGAAAAAAAGGAAAAAAGGCCACAAACACAAAAACACATGGCGGGGCATCTCTGCTAGATCGGGGGTATCAGGCACTTTATTGCATTTGATATTTATTTTGAAATTAGTCACTGCTCGAGTGTTTTTGTTTATTTTCACACAAACACAGAAAAGTAATAATCCGCAGCATTTTCCGATGTGACATTTATATTCTGCAGTACTTAAAGCGAGCTGCCCACACAGCAAATCCCCAAAAGGAAGCACGGTCATAAGGCAGCGTCCATGCACAGGAAATAATGGTTATTAAATGGTTCTCTAAAAAGCTTCCTGGTTCGTTAAAGCACCATCACTAATTAAAGAACCTCTTTATTTAGGGGATGGTTCTTCATGTTCTTTATATGCTTGTTTACAGCACTGAAGGTTCTTCATCTT